AATCTCTTGTCAGCTGGAGAAACTCTTGATCTTTGGTGACACACAGAAACTTTTTATGGATGTATCCTTTTGATCCATCCTTGAGTTCCTGATGACTATAATGATCAGCAAAGATAAAGACCCCGATAGAATTTTGTGAGTCCAAATAAGTCATATACTTAGCATATTGGTCTTGTATGGAAGGAATTTGGAAGATGCTAGCTGTAGTGCACAAGGCTTGGACATTGACCTCTGTCAGAATAACTCTAAAGGTACAGGCATAATTCAATACTAAATTCATTGATTCAGCTTCACCACCAATGATTCTAACTTCTTTCTATGTTCTGTAAGGCCAATAGTGAACATGGATCGAAGTAGGGGCTGATTGCAGCCAGAACATGTCTATGATAGGAAAATGTTTTGTGATCCACTTCCACTACAATGTCTGTCAATTCTCCTTCATCATACATTGTTTTGAGTTGCTTAAGAATACTGAAAGCATGGAAGGGGTCTATGGCTTCATTGCTTCTATCTGAAGATGGAATTCAATTTGTTGTTGGGGAAGACTTACTTAAAATCTGCCATCATGGCCATTTCTCCAAGGAGCTCTGAGAACCTTAGTTTCTTAGCCCATAAACTGGAGATGTATCAGCTACTCTTTGGGGTGATTAGAACCTTGCAGTGATCAACATATGCAAAATGCCTGAAATATTGAGCTCCCTTTCCATCTAGAAGAAAGCTCATCTACCTAAAATGCATATCTCTGAAATAGCAATCGTTTTATAAGGGTTTCCATTTTCTACCATAGCCACTTAAGAGAAAATGCCATTCTGGCTAACTTAGAGTCCAGAGGGATTTGAGACTCACCTGCAGAGCTCTGAAGGCTAAATGCATGTGATCAACGTTATGTGCCTGTCACCACAGGTAAAACTGGGCAAATGAAGACTCCCCCAAGGGAGCTCACTGCCCTCAAGGCTTGCCTCATCTCAGCTCTGAGCCTGTCATTTCCAATATCCTCATAGAAGACAGAGTGAGCACCTTGCTCTCCCCTTGCCTTAGACAGAGATGAAGAACCAGGTCAGGAGGTCTGTTCTCTGTGGTTTTATCTAGGGACTCCTCTTTGGGGGATGTCCTTGACACCCCCAAGACCCAAGAGACCACTCTGGTTCTGCTTTTTGATTCTTCCCCTTCTCACAAACCCTCAGCTCCAAACCCCTGAAAGCTTGATTCTTGCTCCCTGACTGTCTTGTGTGGGCCTGCTTAATGCTCAGAACACGATAGCTGGCCACAGATGACTCAATCTACAGAGAAGCCCTGCCTGGGCACCTGCTGTGTGAGCTGTGTTCTGGGCCCAAGATGAGGAAGTCCCACTGTCTTGACTCAAAGGACCCAGCAGCCTGCATCCTCCTCCATTGAGAGCACCATATCTGCTGTGGCAGAGGTAGAGAGATGGCTAAGAGAGGACAACTGATATCAGGGATGCAGAATTGGGGAGTAGCTGAACCAGCCCAGTGAGAAAGATTACCACATCTAGAGATCTGAGCTGGAGAGGGCCACAGGGCTATGTGGCCATGTGAGGACTGTCTCTTTGTAGAAGGCTAGCCACCCCTGCAGCCTCTGGAACCGATGCTTGTGACAATATCTGTGTTGCCATGCTTGAATCAAAGTGTCTTGGAGAAGACAAAGCCACACCACTCTTGTGATTAGAGAAAGAGAGAGAGAATAAAAAGCAGAATTCAAAATGACATGTATGACAGTACTCCAGTCTCTCTGGCTACTTGCTGAGGACTTCTGGGTGCCCCGCACTGTGTAAGGCTCTACTCAAGGTCTTTTATTTTTAGTGTGTTAGTGTCTGTGTATGTCTATATGAATGTGTGCTGTGTGTAGATCCAATGGAGCTGGAGTTACAGGTAGTTGTGAGTCACCTGATGTGGGTGCTGGTAACTATACTCAGGTTTACTCAAAGAGTAAGATGCATTTAACTGAGTCACCTTCCCAGCCCCTACCCAGGGTCTTTTGGGTGCTTCCACCCTGCAAGCTTGGGAGTGGTCTCCCCATCTCACAGTTGGGAAAACTAAGGTTCACAACAGAGAAACAATATAGGTGAGGTTAGTCAGATGTCATGTGAGATGTCCTGTGACTCATTCTAATGAATTCACTGAAAAGTAGTTTGAATTCAAAAGGAACAGCAAGCAGTGTTTTTGAAAATTATAAGACTATAAGTTATATAAGAACTGCAAAACCAGTCCCAGGGATTCTAAAATTGCTAATTCTTAATGTGTTTTTAAATCAGATTGTCCAGTTTCACGTTTAAATAAATTCTTCACAGCCAGATCACCAGTGTTCCCCTCACCCACCACCCTCTTGAAGTCTCTCCACAAGCTATGGCTTTTGTCATTTCTTAGAAGACAGGCCACATGGTAACTCCCCAACTGGTGAAAACATGGTCCCCAGGAGGAGACTGGGTTATAGTCTCCCTTTCACAGAGCCAAGAGAGTCATTCTCCTGTCAAGAAATAGGATGACTGAATACATGGCTCAGTAAGAACACTTACTGTTCTTGCAGAGGACCTGGGTTCAGTTCTCAGCATCCGGGTGGCTCACAACCATCTGTAACTCCAATTCCAGGGGATCTGATGCCCTCTTCTGGTCTCTGAGGGTACCAGACATGCACATGGTATGTGGACATACATGCAGGCAAGTCCTCATACATATATAATAAAATGAATAACTCTAAAATAACTTTTTAGAAGGAAGATAACTCCCAGTCCTGGGAGTGATGCTCACTTTCATGATGACCTTGAATAGACTTCAAGGGCCCTCTCATCCCTTGGGGCAAGTCTCCAACCTTAGAATGCCTTATGGTCTCTGTGAATGAGTGATCTGCCATGGTTCCCAGCAGGTAGTTAGGGCAGCTGAGAGTTGGCTCATAATGAAAACACTGGGTGTGGTCTTCATCTTGGACATTACTGTCTTCCAACTCCCCACCCAGGTGACTTGCACAGCTGATTGGAACAACTCAACATGGTGTAACTATCTCAGTGTGTTTTGGGGACACCCCCAGCACACTCACAGCCCTCTTCAAGCTTCAGTGATTTCTCCCTAAGACAGGATTGCTTAGAAATTCAGTGGCATAAAGTGCTTATTAGCTAAGTAGTTAATAAGGTCTCATTAGACACTTGGGTTTCTAGTCTCAGACAGTACAGGCTGAATCTTGGCTCCATCAGGAGGCAGGTACTGCCCGTAGGTGTTGAGCACCCCTCATCTCCTTTCTGGGAGAGTGATACGGAGCCAGTTCACATGATAGGAGGCAGAGCAGGCAGTACCCAGTTAGAAAGCAAGCCTCCCTTCCCTCTTTATTTTCAAGAAAACCTTGTGTTCTACAGCCTCTATCTGAGGGTCAGAGTTGGGTGCCCCACCAGGGGATAGAACATCAGACAAGCAATAGCTTATTGTTCTGAGCTAATACACCTGAACCTTCCTAGAAGAAAGAGCCAGATTTCTTGGCTTGCACAGGTTCCTCAAAGTAGAAAGAAGTTGTGTCAAAGCAGAATTCTAATCTTTCCCAGACTAGACCTCTGGTCAGGGGTGGGGCTGAGGAGGTGCCTTGCCTGGCAGCTGCTGTTCACAGTCAAGACACATAGGCTTTGCACAGGCTGGGGAGGCCTCAACCTACACTACCCCAGAGGCCTGAAGCCATGTTCCTTATAGTCCTCAAGAACCCTCCTCATATGGAATGACTACCGAACTGTTCTTCATGGTACAGCTTCTAGACTAGCCAAAGGTGTGAGGGTCTCTGTGGCCTTCTCTCCTGCCTGTTTAGCTTCCTTTCTGTTCACCCCATGATATCTGCTTTGTCGGGAATCTGAAGAGTTAGCATCTGATGCTGGGGTGGCTCTGCTCCAGGAGCTGGGGTTCCATGCTTGGTTGCAGTTTCCCTGGATCTCCTGCTTTGTTCTCAAGCCTGACTGTTAGCACTTTAGTAGTGGCTCCCAAGAGCAGTCTCGGATTTAGATGAAAGGCATTGCTTTATCACATAAGATTCAGTGTTACTTGAGGCAACTTCTACCAGAATCCTGGCAGCCTAAATGGCTGCTAATTCTGGCCACTCCTCTCAGAGGTTGAATTTGGAAGGCAGCCAGGTCTTGGAGCCTCCCTCAAGAGCCTAGGGATCACAAACAGTACTTCTGGCCTCTTGGGCTGTGCATTATTCACCTCCTGTCCCAGCAGTCTTCTCAGTGTGGTCTGTCAGAGCTTCCCAGGAAGAAGGTCCTATTGGGACTTGGCTGGGCCCAGATGTGTGATTTATTCCATCCCCTAATTGAGCTGTTCAGTGTTGCTGGTCTGTAGCCATCCCTCCAGAGTGCTGTCTTCTGGCTGCTGTGCTTGGCCACTGAGCAGGTCATAGGGCGGGGCTAAGACCTAGCTCCTTTCTAGATGGGTTCCAAGGCATGCCACAAAGCAATGAGCTCCTGGACTTTGGTTCACTCATTTAGGAAAATGCAGATCTTTGCATCTTAGAAAACAAACCCCAGATCCGTTATGTACAAACGCCCTCCCACAGCCCCTGGCTGTAATTCCATTCTCTGTGATTTTATTGTTTGTGCTTGGGTTTGTTTCTTTGTTTGTTGCTTTTCTGAGTTGGGGGTAGGATCTCACTCTGTAAGTCAGGCTGGTCTATATCTAGCTATGTCACTCAGGCTGGCCAAAAATCCAGTCAGATTGCTGAGTTTTGGGATTCCAGGCATGTGTCATCGTGACTGGCTCTACCTCTGATTTGACAACACTGCATAGTTCATAGGAGTAGAAATGTGCACTTTTTCCTTTTGCTACCAATTTGGATGATTTCCTTCTGTCCATTTAGATAACTCTGGTGTCCTCTCCCGATGGTCTGCTTTACCTCTGGGAACTCTGGGGTACTACTTTCCTATGGGCTGGAACTTTTATCCCCTTGCCCTATGTTCCTGCTACGTGCTAACTGGCTTTCCTTTTGTCTGTTTCCTCACTTCTGCCCTTGGCTAGCTGACAGTAGGGAAAGTGTCCAGCGGAATAGGGGCTGCAGCTGAAGTTCTGGTCAATCTGTACTTGAATGATCACAGACGTAAGACACAGGCCACCTCTCCAGACCTGGTAAGGTTCCACCTGAAGATATTTGCCCAGCCTCCCCAGGCAAGAGTATGAAAGGATCCAAAGGTACTCCTTCTCGGGGAACAGGGGATGCTGAAAATAGACTGGATCCAGCAGAGGCTGGAGGAAGCTATATTTCCTCAAAAATTGACTTCACATGGGCCCTTGTGTTCACTTTCCAGGAAAAACATGCTCCCTGCTATCTGTAGCTTTTAGGATCTATTCAGCATCAGGCCTGCAGGGCTGTTGGACAGGTCCCCCACCTTTAGCATTTGGTGTCCAACCTAAGCAGACCTGGGAGCTGAGACATGTGAAGCAGGGTGAACACATCTTCCCTCTGGCTCTTTCTGTCCTCGCTCTAAGTAGCATGTTGCCGTCAGCAACACTGTGCGCTGATTGTTGATCTGGTTTCCTTTGGACTCGCTGACCTGGAATTGCCTAGTACCAGCCTGCTCTGGCCCTTCCCTTCCCCACTTCAAGTGTGGAGGGAACTGTAAGTCACAAGCTCCCCTTTTCTTCACTCTCTTGAATAGATTTGAGGTCACACCCAGCCCTCACTTGACCCCTATCACTACAGGGGGCAAAGGCATATACCACAGCCTGTCCTGCTTCTTTTTTCTGTTGCCATGGACTACCATGATAAGCCTAACCTCAGGGTAGAGAGTTTATTTAGCTCACTATTCAAGGCACAGCCAGTCCATCATAGCAGGAAGTCAAGCAGGAACTTGAAACAGGTGGACACATTGCACTCACAGTCAAGAATCAGATTAGGGTGGATGTAATGCTGTTTGCAGTCTGAGCTCCTAGCCAGAGAATGGTACCACTCACAGTGATGGGTCTTCCCACCTCAGTTATCAAGGTAATCCACCACAGGCATACCCAGAGGCTCATCTCCCAAGTACGACTGGATTCTGTCAAGTTGACAACTAGCACTGATTATACACATTGTCACTGTAGTACCCAGTGACATTTATCCTCTAGGATTGACCACAAGAAACCAACACTAGGTAGACATATTCAAGCAATATACCCACTCATTCAGATCAGCCTAAGGGAGAGCCCTGCAGGGAGGAAACTGTGAGGAGTATGTCTTCCTGCCCCCAAGCTCTTGTTTGCAGTGACATAAACAGCGGCCAGGAGCCCTGAAGATGCTGTGATTTGATTAAGAGTTTCAACATCCCTAGGCCTGGCCTTTAAAGACTTATTCAGCCCTAGCATATCGCTCTTTTCTCCTGGTCCCAGGAATCCGTGAAAAAGGCATTTCCCCTGAGCCTGGGTGGCAGCGACACCTGCTACTTTTGTAAGAAGCGTGTGTACGTGATGGAGAGGCTGAGTGCTGAAGGTCACTTTTTCCATCGTGAGTGTTTCCGATGCAGTGTCTGCGCCACCACCCTGCGCCTGGCTGCCTATGCCTTTGACTGCGATGAAGGTAACACTGGGAGCCAGGACAACACTGGCCTCTGGCCTGTCTTAGATGTAACTGTGTTCTGGGGTTCCAACCCTCAGGAGGAATACTTACCAACAGGGAGTATGGTATCATTAGGAATGTTACTTAGAGAAACTGGGAGACCCTACTGTGAAGAGCAGAAGCCATTGGCACCTACAGTGCACCAGGCACAGTGGCACCTACTGTCTGCTGAGGGCCCTCACTTACCTCACTCAGCCCCATCACTTTCCATGGTGCCTGTGAGGCCAAGATAATCAAACCCAATAAACTGTGTGATATGCCCAGAATTTTACCTGGCATGTAGTAAGAGCTTAATGAATGATGCCATACTAATAAAGTATGTGGGGCTAGGGAGAGTGCTCAGGAAGTTGAGTGCTTGTCTCAAAACCATGAGGACTTGAGACCAGTTCCTGAATCCATGTTTTGTTTTGTTTAAATGGGACCAGACGTGGTGGTGCACACCTTTAATTCATCAGCCTTTAATATTATGCTGCCATATAGAACGTGGGACAATATGACATAGTGCTTATGATTGTGGCCTTAAAGCTGTCCTACCTGGGGTGGATCCAGGCAGTAGCACCTACTCACTGCATAACCCTGGGGCTGTTATTTAAATTCTTAGTTCCTCAGTTTCCTCATCTACAAAATGAGGATGATGATAGGACTTGTATGGATGCTGCACACCAATGAGCCCAGTACTCTGGAAGCAGAGAGGGTAAGATTCTGAGTTCTGGACCAGCCTGGGCTACATATAGAGACAGCCTCAGATGAACAAAACAAAGAAATAATAGTTCTTAGTTCATGAGAATGAGGGAGATATATGCAGTATTTATTAGGTTTTTCCCATCATCACCATCATTATTTTCACCATCATTATTGTTCCTATCATAGAAGTGGGCAGCAATGCTCTCCTAGAAGATACCCAGAGGTCCTGAGCTGTGGCTGTTTTACCCAACACATACCCTGCCTGAGTCTTTTCTCTCATCACTGACCAGCTGTACTGGCACTCAAGATTCCAAGGATGGGGTGTGGGGGAGGCTAGCTCTCAGAGCTACCTATTTTTCTCCCTGACAACTGGTCTCGTGAAGAAATCTAACTTCTGTTTGGAGTGGGAGTCACCTGAGGGTTCTAGCACCACTCAGAGAGTCCCCCATTGCCAGCACCTTCTCTGGTTGCCACTTTTGGGAAGGCAGATAAGCCCCTGCTAGAGTCTGAGCTGAGCTGATTTCCATGGCTGATGTGTTCTGACTGGACAGTGATGAGCATTTGTTCCCACAGTTCTGTCTACAGAGAAAAACCATATGTGTGTGTGTATGTGTGTGTATGTCTCTTCTCACAGGCAAATTCTACTGCAAGCCCCATTTCATTCACTGTAAAACCAACAGCAAACAACGCAAGAGACGGGCAGAGCTGAAGCAGCAAGGAGAGGTATGTTGGTCTCAACAGTGCTGGGAGAGCCTGGAACATCCCTCCCCTTTGATAAGGTCTCTAAAGGCACCCTCAAAGGTAGACAGACTTCTCTAGCCCTGAAGGGATAGCGACTACTCCCAAATAAATAAGAGTCCCCTTCTAGAGTGTTCTTTTGTCTTAGTCTGTTCAGCAGCCTCTGGGTTGGCCCTGTTCCAGACTCCAGCTCCCTGATAGGCACCTAGCTTCTTCTAAGAAGTCGAGAAATACTTGCACATGTGTCAAGACTGAGCTGTGCAAAAGTCATGTGGTCACGCTATGCCCAGGAACCACAGGGCACTGCTTGTAGGAGGAAGGTCAGGTTTCCAGGTCCCTTCCTAGGCTTTTAAAGCAACCACTGAACTTCTCCATGGTTTGTGGTAGCGCCCCCTCTGGCAGCTCTCAGAAAATACCTTCTCTACAGTTTGATGAATCACCTAGCACTCATTGGAACCCATAACTTGAACTTTCCTAATGATACAGTCATAGGCTCACTATAGGAAAATAAGGGGAGAAGGTGAAAGAGGGAAAAAATGGGGGTGGAGGCTGACAACTCAAGAGTAAAAATTTTGGTTTTGGTTGTTTTAATTGAGATAGAATCTCACTATGTAAACTTGGAACTCAATAGTTAGTGCAGGCTGGCCTCAAAGTCACAGAGATCTATCTGCCTCTGTCTCCTGAATACTGTGATTAAAGGCATGTGCCACCACACCTTGCTTAGGAGTAGAATTTCTAATGCTATTGATTGTATTTTATGCATGGTCAGTATCTGCTTCAGTAGTTCTGTCCTGTTGGGCTTTCATACCATTTAATACTTTCATACTTGCAAAGATTTTTTTTACAGTAAATATATTTGCATACAAATCTTAATCCCTATTTCTAATTATTCATGTGCTATGTAACAATACAAGTAGGTATGCAGGGTCAAAGATCATGCATATTTTGAATGCTAGTGAATGGTATAGTAACTTCACCCCCTTAAAATCAACTTGTGCCCACATTCAACACAAGTATGGGAGCCACCCCAGCTAGAGTTTCACTGGCTCAACCTCTCCATTGGAGGCAGCCTCTGAGATGGATTGGACTAAGTGCTTTTGCTTTGCTGTCTTTCTCAGGAGGAAGGGACATGGCAGGAGCAGGAAGCCCCTCGGAGAGACACCCCCACGGAAAGCTCTTGTGCAGTGGCGGCCATCAGCACGCCAGAAGGCAGCCCCCCAGGTATCTCCACCTCCTTCTTTAGGAAGGCACTGAGCTGGCCTTTCAGGCTGACAAGAGGCCTGCTCGACCTGCCCCGGAGCCTGCTTAGGTGGATGCAGGGACTCCTGAATGCTGCTGGCCACCATGTCAGAGACAATGCTCACAACTACTGCTTCACAGTTGAGGTCCTGAGCATGGGGCTGCTGCTTCTCTGGGCCTTCTCTGAGGTCCTGGCCGTCATGTACAGGGAGTCTGAGGAATCCCTAGAGAGCATCCGCACTTGGTTGCTCAGGTTCATCCCAGTGAAGCTGCAGTGAGGCACATGCTGACCCACAGTGCCCTAACATTTCCAAGTGTAGACTGCGACGTAGTTTGCTCAGGTTCTGGCCGGTGTCTGTAACCAATTAGCTCCAAGCCAAAGAGTCCCATCCTGGTCACTTCCACCTGGCTTTGACAGGGTCGAGCATCTATTCATGGTGCTAGGGCCAGGAAAAACATGAAGGATTTTTTTTTGTTTTTTTTTAAAGGAACAGCTTTGTATTGTTTTGTCTTTTCATACCAAAGTGAGCCATATTTCTAGGTTTACATTTCAATTTTTAACTTTTCATAAGCCAAAAAAAGCATTATTTTTCTACAAGTATCAGTACTTCCAACAGTTTCAACTTTTATCACCAGTTTTACAAGGCCTTTGCACTTGGCAATGAATTGAGATTTGTTTCTTCCAGCAAAGTTAATGAGCTGAGACTTTAGAGCCACAAAAGAGGGCTATCACCAGACCAATGCCTTTTGATTTTTGCATACAGATGCCATCTGTTCACAATGGGTGCTGCATTTGTTTGTTTATAAAAACACATATATGTAAAATCAGTAAGGTTAAAAGAAGTTAAGTAGAGGTGTAGAATATACCACAATTAACCAAAGCACACAGCAGTGTGTCAATGCTATCTGTCCTCAGGGTCAGGGAGAAGTATTTTTACTCCTATCTTTTGAAGTCAAAAAGTAGCCTAAAAGCTTTCCCTCATGCCCATCCAATCACAGCCAATGGCATAGAGCCATGGGGCTACCACACTGCAAACATACATTTTCCTCCCACTAATGGGTACTACAGTGAAGCCGATCAGCACTTGGCCCTGAATAGCTGTCAGGCTGATGTAATGCTGAGGACAAACTATTTCAGATGGTGTCCTTTTCACCCCTATCCAGTCCCCAGCCCAGGCTGCAGGCTGAGTCAAAGTCACTGAGGGCCATCATGGTCAGGCTGTCTCTCCCTGGTGTCCTTTAAACCTGAGGGTACTTGCTGACCCTGATCAGTGAGCCTTGATGGTGGCTGCTCAGTCATGTGTCACCTACTTACAATCAGAGACCCTTCTCCTAGTGCCCCAGAAAAAGAAGAGTGTCTGGTCTTTGGGTAGTTTCAAGCCCAAAGTGTTTTCTATACTGGGTGTCTGGAAAAGCCTACAGCTGTCCCCACCCAACTCTGTGATGCTCAGCTTCTTCAGCAGGTTGAGCAACTGGAGGGTTGATAAGGACCTTCTAGGTACTCAGGGTATCTACAGTCACTGGGTACAATACTGCTGTGGAGAGCTGTGACCACTAGAGTGCCCTCCAAGATTAAGAAGGTCTGGTTTAAAGACAAGGCATCTTGAAAGCTTTGACATAAGTTTCTGTAAGGTAGGGAAAGAGGGGTGCATTTCTACAGAGTCTGTTCTGAAGTCATGGGAAAGACAGGGCATGACTGTGATCAAGTCTATGGGAACCAGCACCTCTGACCTTGCTGGAACTGTTGCCAGCGTGATGACGTACATTGTATTTGCCCCACTTGTAGCTGGGGTTTTAATGGTCAAGCATGATGGGAGAAGCCCTTGAGTCCTATTATGTTTCATTATGCCACATGAACTCTTGAAGGTCACATTATAGTGATTTTCTCCAGCTCAGGGTGGGCTGGGATGCACTGTGGAATGCTCTGGGAAGCCAGAGTGAACTCTCTAAAAAATGTCTTTTATAGCCATAAGGAGGCTGGTTTGAATTACTCTGGTAGACAGGGTGTGTCTGTCACAAGGCCTAGACATCTGTATGTGTTGAGACCTTGAACCTTCCTGGTGGGCAACAGCAGGGGCAGGTCCTGGGAGACAGACACTCCAGAAATGAATTTGCCTGGAGGATGAGTGTGAAACCCCAGAGTACAATGGACACCGAGGGGCTAGTGGGGCTGAAGGGCCTGGGAACATTTGTGGACAAAACTGGGGTTCTATGAATATGCAGATGCGGTGCATCCACTCTTGGAAATGAATGGCTGGCCGCCAGCAGGAAGGTCTGTCTCTCCCAAGCACACAGTTGTTTGTGGCAGGACAGTGGCTGTTCTGTTTCCACCTCCGATGCCTTTTCCTCTTGTGATTTGGACTTGTTTTACTCCCTCGCTAAGTCCTCCTTTCTGTCTTTCTCTTTCCAACCTTACTCTGTGGCCGCCAGTGCGTTTCAGCCTTCCAGTCCTTCACCCACTTCTTGGCTGACACTCCTGCTCTAAGGTGACTGATTTTCTTGGCAATTTTCAGAGAGAGGTACTAACCCCCACCCTGCTTCCCACACCCCTTCCTCTGCGTCAGTGGTACTGGTAGCACTAATGGTGTCTTGCATACTAATGGGCTTCCTAAGGCATGAGTGGTTAGCAGCATGGGGTGGGGGTCAGCTTGAAAGCTGTGTTCTGCTTTCCCTTCTTTGGAGCCAGCCACCAACCTGGGTCCACAACAAGTGCATGCCCCCTCACCCCCCATCCCTGCCACCTCGGGCTGGCCTCTATGCATGCTTTCTCAGTTGCACCTTCAAAACCTCTTATCATCTTGGGAGGGTTTGCCATGATCATGAGACAATACCATATAAGAAAGGCTCTGAGGCCTTTGAAAACTTTTCTGCTTAGTGACCTTTTTAAAAGGACATGTCTAGGAATATCTTCTTCAGTCAGTTCTAATACGAAGAAGATTACCGATGCCTTTGATTGGAACCATAAGTGACTCAGTGTGGTGAAGTTTTAAGAGTAGACTTGTTCCAAGACTCTGTGTGGCCAGACTGACCCATGCCCTGTGCGGTGAATACAATAAAACTAGCAAGCCCGTCCTCTGTTTCAGCAGTTAATCCTAGGGCCTTGCCATGCATTTCATATGCCTCTGGGCTCCTAAGTCCCTACTGGTTCACAAACTTTAATCAGAGCAGTCATGGCCATAGGAAAAGGGCTGGCTTTCAGAAATAATGCAGGTCAGCCACTGTCCATGCTCCTGTCAGTCTATCTAAAGCACATAGTCCCTCTGCTCATTTACCTGGAACAGTGGGATGGTCACATGCTACTACAAAAACGTGGTCACAGGGAGGGCAGAGAGCAGATGTGAGTCCAGCCCCATGTCCCCAGACTGCAGTCAGAGTCTGTCTCTCATACTAGAGCCGCCCTGCCCTTCAGCTTCTGCCCAGCCCTGCATGCTGCACTTGCTTGCTGCATTGGAGCAGAACCCAGCCAGTACAAAGCCCTCTCCTCTCCTCTCTTCTTCTCTTCCAGCATTCCCCTCTCTAAAATGTCAACCAAAGAGAGCCCCCCTTGCTCTCAGCCTCTTTAGCTAGCCTCCTCCCCATCTCATGGCAAGGCATGTCTGTGACCCTAGAAAATTCATTTACAGTGCCATATGGAACCCTGTATTTTCCACATAGCAAAACGATGTTTAGGTTTATTTATGATATTTGATGCTGTAAATGAAAAATAAATATGGTTCTTTATAAAGCTCATCGTTTCCTCTCTTCTTTGCCGTGGAAGCTTCTAAACCTCAAACACAGGCCTGGTTTAGAGGGGGCCATGCTCTCCTAAACGGCTGGCGGGGCTTGCACTTGTGGTGGTGACCCGGGACTCTGTGGGGCTGTGCCAGGGCAATCTGAAATATTACCCAAAGGTAATATTTGGAAAAATATCACCAATACTCTGGTGCCAGGCTTTGGGATCTCTTCCTTAAAATGTGTGGTACTTTGCTATTCTAGACACTGGGCAGAGGAGGACAGGGCCAGTGTGACCTCAACACTTAGGAACAGGCTGTGTTGACAGCTGTCTGGACCCATTTCCCTGGCACCTGCAGATCATGGCTCTGTAGGAGGAGGGCTTTACCAAAAGCCCCACCTGTTTTGAATCTTATAGAGAAAAAATATGAGTCTTTTCATGTTTTTTACTGGTCAATCCAAGTGATGAACAAAAGGTAAGGAAGAAGGAGTGGGCATCGGTCTCTGGAAGTCAGTGAACCAGCAAGTATGCTCATGGTGCTCTATACTATGAAGTTCTGCTCACATGGCCACTCTCAGCACAGTGCCTAGCAGGCTCTGCCCAACTCCATTCTGTTTAGAGGAAGGACTTGGCATCTCCCTTGACTATCCTGGACAGTTCCAGATCACCCCAGGAAGGAATTTCTGCCATTGCCAGATTGGATGTGGTTGGGCTTCTAATACTGGCATAAGAAGTCCCCTAGGGACTATGAGGGCCCTGGTGGCTTCCAGAGAGTTTGTCTGGTATTCCATCCTCCAACTCAGTTGCTGGTGCTTGTGTCTGCCTTCAGAGCCACCTCAAGTTGTGACCTGGGGCCCCTGTCTCCTCTTATGATCAAGGAAGGCTATTAGGGACAAGAGATCAGGTGGAGGGGTAGGCAAATGACCTATTCTTTACCTATACAACAGTTATTGCCAGAGACATTATTCTGGGACCAAGAGCAGCAGGCTCCAAAAAGTCCTTGTGGCTCCCTGACATTTAAGAAGTGCGTGCCTTAGATTGCTGTTCAGATTCTGATTGTCTTGTCTATGCTTCTGCTCTTTCATCTCTTTACCTCACTTTACTAAGCACCTACTGTGTGCTAGGGAATACAGCTAATCTTGTCAGTCTCTCTAAATCTTGAAGGCTCTCAGAGAATCCTCCAGTAAATAAGCTTAATTAACTGTTAGGGGTTGGCTTTCTCATACCTGCTTGGAGACTGTCTTGGTTTGATTTGCTTGGACTCTTCTTATAACCCTACATAATTGGTATTTGGTAGAATATTCTTTAATCCAAAAACACTGGAGACTTAATTTCTTTATGGCGGGGAGGTCAAGTTCATGACTTCGTATGGGTAGGCAAGCTACCTATACAATCTACCATTTAGCTACCTCCCCAACCCTAAGACTTAACATTTTAAAAGTAGAATTAAATATTAAATAGAGGGGCTAGAGAGATGGCTCAGTGATCCAAAGGTCCTGAGTTCAATTTCCAGCTACCATATGGTAGCTCACGACCATCTATAATGGCATCTGATGCCCTCTTCTGGCCTGCAGGCATACATGCAGATAGAGCATTCAAATACATTAAAAACAAAAACTTAAAAAATATTACATAAAAGTGCCATCCAACAGTCAGGCAAAGTGGCTTTACCTGTAATGCCTGCACTGGGGAAGTGGAGACAAGAAGATCAGTAGTTCAAGATCACACTCAGTTACACAGCAAGTTTAAGAAAAACCTTGGCTACATGAGACCCTGTCTCAAGAAAACACCCCCCTCCCAAAAGTAGTTCCTAATAGGGAAAATTTGTGTTAGGTATATAGTAAACACAATTAATTATGTGTTAGATCATGAGGAGATGATTCTCTGAGTTTTAGAACTGCTAGCAAAAACAAATTCATGTGGGGAAAAAATGAAACAAATTTGACCATTTACATTTTAAATATTTTTAAATTATATGTGTCAGAGTGTGGGTTTATACAGTAGTAGCTGTGGGCTTCAGAAGAGGGCATTTGATCCCCTGGAGTTGGAACTAAAGGTAGTTGTGAGATGTCAGATGTGGGTACTGGGAACAAGTGCTGTTAACCACTGAGCCACCTCTCCAGCCCCAACTATCTATCTTTTAAAAACCAGCATGAAAGCCAGGCATGGTGCGCACTCCTTTAATTCCAGCACTCAGGAGGGTGAGGCAGGCAGATCTCTGTGAGTCTAGGTCAGTCTGGTCTACATAGTGTGTTCCAGGACAGCTATGCATATAGAGAGACCCCCATTTCAAAACACCAAAATAAGTAAATAAACAAATCACATAATTGTAACAACTAAAACATGAACTATACAGTGAGACTGGGGGAAATCTGAATTAAATATAATAACACCGAAGTCCATTGCCATGGTAAACCAGGTGTTCCCCAGGCACCTCCCACGGTGACACTGATGAAGTTAATCTTCACTGAGCAATGACCCAAGGATAAGTGAGTAAAGGCTGTGAATGATTGGTTCCCACTCAGGCAAATTCAAGAAGTAAACACTGAAAAATGAAAAGGAAGCATCTGGGGGAATGCCCCCTCTTGGCTTTCAAAGGAATGTAAATGAATCATGTTCTCTCACCTAGTCAGCAAGGGAGACAGGGGAGTGGTGATGGTGAGGACATATATGAGTTTAGGATTGACAACAGAGAAAGTCTATTTTCTGAAAGGCACTATAACAACCAAGATTAAGTCTCAGAAAAGGACCCTGACCTTTGTCCCCATAAGAAAGAAATCTCTGTGTACCTCCAATAGTAAGAGTCAGTGCAGCCTCCATTGTCGGTGGGCTGTTCCTCATTCAGGTGGACTGTACTTTTTACGATTTAACACCCCACACAAGCACCCCCAAAATCTTTAAGTCAAAGAGTGTCTGCCTTCCTCACTGCCCTGAGTCAGCTGCTATCTGCCCAGTCCTTTCTCTGTGGCCATCTCTGTACCAATCTGTCCAAGTCCAGCCCCTCATTAGTGCTTATCTCCCTGTAGCATCACGAAGTCCATGCAGCTATGAGAGAAGATCTTAGGAAAGATCATTGGTGCTAGGCAGGCCAGTTACAGTGGTATCCTCTACTGTGATGGAGCAACGAGCACTGGGGCCCAAACTAGGTGCCAGGGTCCTATGTGGTAAGGGCCTGGGCTTTGACTGAAATCCCAGCTTTGCCCCCTGAAATTTAGCTCTCACTGTGTCCTGGGGTGAGCCCCCTCTGTGTACTGGGAGCTTACAGAGTCTCTGGCATTGAGTTTTGGGAAGGTGGAATCAACAAGCCAACCTAGGTCAGTGCCTGGGACTCTGTTGTCAGACGTTCTACCAACCTCTGGATGGCACCTCTCTGAAGGGATTGCTTCTGGGAAGGCTTCCTTCTGACACTGTAGATAAACTGAGGCTCTGGATTCCCCTACAAGGTAGGTGGACACTGGACAGAGGCCCACAGGGCATGCTGGGAGGTACCGGCACCATCTTTCCTCTCTTATACTCTCATCCCCAGCCTCTTGAAGGCAACCAGCTACTTCCCCTCAGACTCAGGTCTCAGCTCCAGAGTCCCACCTCCTGCCACCTGTCAAAGGCTTTGTGTGGGGAATGCCAGAGCATGGGCTAAGAGGAAACACGGGCCCTGACTACTTTGCAGCCTTCCCCACTCCCCATATCTACCTGGACATCCTTTAGGCTACTCCAGATCACAATCATCTCCAACACCAAATTTTTTCACAAAACAGTCTCCATTGTTAACCATCTCCCTTACAAGTGAAGAGCTGCCCAACCCCCGTCCCCTTGTTCATCTCACAAGCCCTGGAGTAATGCTTGAGTCTGCTTTTTCCTGGACCCACATGTCACCCATCTAGAATCTGTCCTGATGACTGGAAGAGTATATTTAGGCTGGGAAGGTCTTGCTGGTGTCCAGCCACAGTTCATGACAGAGCCCTAAAGGGGCAAAAGGCAGACATCGTGCATTGTGCCACCCCTATACAATGCCTCCATATTGTTCCCTCCTTGCCTTCTGAGGGCTGTCACATCTTGTGACAAAGCAGATTTGAGTGCCCCCTCCCACAACCCCAGAGTGATGCACCTGAATTGACAGCCCTTCCTATGGTAACTTTGACACCAAGGTCTTGCTTAGTAATCTGTCACAAGGCCACCAGGCCATATATATACCCTCTCTCCTATCCTCACTGTCTCTCGCATAGGAATCCAGTTGACCTTTGGAGACAGTAAGTGGAGTAGGGAATGTGCCACTCTTATAATCTGGGCTCTAGGTGGGCCAAAGGCACTGACTGCTGTCTTTACTCCCTTTATTTATATGTGGCTATAACAAGGGGCCCATCTGGATAGAGTGGCCAGACTCTCAACTGTGTGGGAGGCCAGAAGTGCTCTCAGATCTGTCTCATCAACCTACCTCGCCAGGTGTAGACCCCATCTGGACCTATGGCAAAGCCTACCACTCCTTAACACTGGTCTAAGAAGGCGGGTAACACACAGGATCCAAAGCTGCCTCCCTCCCTGCCTTCCTAGATTGCTGCAGGAGGTGGTGAAATACCTTCCAGAAATTCCAGATCCTCGCCTTCCCATCTTATTACCATAGTTATTAGGGACAGAGCCCGGACCCTAGGAGTCCTAACAAACCAGGCTCAACCACTTGTCCTCAATAAGCCAATTAAACAGACTAGTAACAGAAAGATGTATTCAATGTGACTACATTAGGAAGAAAAACAAATACATCCAGTGAACCACACCATTACCCACCCCCTCACCCCCACACTCCTCACTTCCCTACCACCATCACCCTCACCCCATGCTCTGAAAGCTGGTGTCTATCCTTAGGATCCATGTGAGGCTAGCATTTCCCTAGTGTCTGGCTCAAGATTTAGGATGAAGGGTCAGGGATGGGAATGGGTAAATTCCACTGAGGCCACAGGATCAGGTTGGGCTTGGTTCCCTTCCTCTCTGGGCAAAGGTGTGGCTTCCGTCTGCATGGGAATAG